TGTGAGGCGGGCTGTGACAGAAACAGCTCTTCTTCAAGGACAACTCTGACAGAACTACGGCTTGCCCAAGGTCATCCCGCCAGGTGCAAGTGGAGGAGTGGGGAATCAAACCCAGTTCTCCCAGATTAGAGTCTGTGCACTTAACCACGACACCAAAACTAGCTCCTCTCTAGAGAGGAAGAAGAGGAGGAGGAGGAGGAGGAGACTGGATTTATACCCTGCCCTTCACTACCCGAAGGAGTCTCAGAGTGTCTCACAATCTCCTTTCCCTCGCAATGTTCCCTCTAAGCCATGGAGTCTTGTGAGCAAAAATTCTACTTTGTGAGCTACCGGCATTAAAGTTGTGAGCGAGCGATTTGGCTACTGCATGAATTGGTTTGCTCTGGAGCCCTCCTTCCTGAGCAGAGACAAAAATGTGTGAGCCAGAGGCTAAAAAACAGTGAGCTAGCTCACACTAACTCAGCTTAGAGGGAACACTGCCTGTGAGGTAGGTGGGGCTGAGAGAGCTCCTTTAAGGACTGCTCCTGGGAGAACAGCTCTGAGAGAACTTGTGACTGGCCCAAGGTCAAACCGTTAGCTGCATGTGGAGGCGTGGGGGAATCAAACCCGGTTCTCCCAGATTAGAGTCTGTGCTCCTATCCGCTACACCAAACTGGCTCTCAATAGGAAAAGAGGAAGACCCAAGCCGAGATGGATCGACTCCATCACGGAAGCCATGGCGCTCGATTTGCAAGACCTGAGCAAAGGCTGTTGACCGACGGACAGTTTTGGAGGACGTTAAGTCAGAAGCGACTTGACACACGCACACACACGCGCCCATTCTTGAGATTTCCCAGCATGCAAACGACGGCACTGTGCATTGTCGAAAGCTCTCCGATTGCCAGCAGCGTGTCCCGGTCGCTTCCAAAGGCTTAGTGCAGCTTGGAGTGAAGAACGTACGTGCCAGGCAGGCCCGGCCATTGATTTTGTTTTGTCGAGGGGGTGGTTTCCGTTTGATTCCAAGAGCCTGGGAGCCGGCACTTAGAGAGGTGGCCGCTTTCCCGCCCTCTAATAAATCCCCATCAGTCCCTAACAATTTACCTGCCCGCGTGAGCTCTCGTTCCCTTTCCGCCTCATTCCCTCTCTCTTTCTTTGGCTCTTCTCTCTTGAGGGCCCTCTTAGAAAGGACGCAGAGCAGATACTGCCTCTCAAAAGCAAGGGGCTGGAGAGGAAAAAGAACCAGGAACGAAATGTTGCAGGGTGGCAGAGTTGCCGTGGCAGAGGGCCGTCACCTGCCTAAGACAGGTGGCTGGTTGCAGAATAGGCAGGGCTATTTTGGGGCAGGAACGCACAGGAACAGAGTTCCAGCTGGCTCCCGAGTTGGCCACGCCCAGCAGGAACTCATTAGCATAATAGGCCACACCCAACAGCAGAAACTCATGAGGATTGGCTACATTAGGGGTGTGTGGCCTAATATGCAAAGGAGTTCCTGCTACAAAAAAAGGCCCAGGGTTTTGACAACAAACAAGGTCAACAGAATAAGAAGCAAAAGGTCGGTGTGGCTGGATGGCCACACTTCTGGTAACACGGGGGTGCGGCCTAATATGCTAATGAGCTGTGCTGTCAGGGGTGTGGCCTAATAGGCTAATGAGTTTCTGCTCTTGGGTGTGGCCTATTATGCTAAAGAGTTCCTGCTGGTCTTTTTCTACAAAAAAAGCCCTGAGAATAGGGGTTCCCGATGCGGTGCGCGTGGGCATCATGGTGGCAGCCAACACCATTCCTACCACCCACCAGGTGTTTCTAGGAAGTGGATGAAGCCATGTTGAGTTCTTGCCGTCCAGTGCTTCTGATTTTCTGTGTAAAATAAAATTGTTTCAGTTGCAGCTGTCACCACGGTTTCAGGTTTTTTCCCTCCACTCTTTCTAGTGTGTTTTTTAAAATTACCCCTGCTCACCCCTGTATTTGGGCTCCCATTGTGTGTATGGCTCCGCCGCTTTGGGCAACCGTTTTGTCATTGGCTCCGCCTCCTTGGGCAGCCATTTTGTCACTGGCTCTGCCTCCTGGGGCAGCCATTCTGTAGTCGTGACCACCGCCCATTGCTACCACTCCAAAGTTGGCCACAGAATTCTAAAGGTTGCGGACTCCGGTTATAGAACGTCTTCTATGCCGTGCAGTTCTCTCCGCTTCTTGGAGAGGCATACATCTTGCCCCAGGCGCTTCTCTGTTACCCACTCAGACCCTGCTCTTGGCCATCCAGAGGAACTGGTTGGCCCCTGTGTGAGACGGGATGCTGGACGAGATGGACCCTCACTGGTCTGATCCAGCAGGGCTCTTCTGAGGTTCCTATCAGGGGAAGGCCTCGGCCTCTCTGCCCTGTTGTCGGCCCTCCAGAGGAACTGGCTGGCCCCTGGGTGAGACAGGAGGCTGGACTAGATGGACCCCCACTGGTCTGACCCAGCAGGGCTCTCCTGATGTTCTGATCAGGGGAAGGCCTCGGCCTCTCTGCCCTGTTGTCGGCCCTCCAGAGGAACTGGCTGGCCCCTGGGTGAGACAGGAGGCTGGACTAGATGGACCCCCACTGGTCTGACCCAGCAGGGCTCTCCTGATGTTCTGATCAGGGGAAGGCCTCGGCCTCTCTGCCCTGTTGTCGGCCCTCCAGAGGAACTGGCTGGCCCCTGGGTGAGACAGGAGGCTGGACTAGATGGACCCCCACTGGTCTGACCCAGCAGGGCTCTCCTGATGTTCTGATCAGGGGAAGGCCTCGGCCTCTCTGCCCTGTTGTCGGCCCTCCAGAGGAACTGGCTGGCCCCTGTGTGAGACAGGATGCTGGACTAGATGGACCACTGGTCTGATCCAGCGGGGCTCTTCTTAGGTTCTTATGCATCTGTAATCTGGTGTTGAGTGCTGTGGGGCTCAAAGCAGGAGTGAGGAACCCCGTCCTTGCATCACTGAGCCCACTGACGGGAAGTGGCCTGAAGCTGGGACAAGGAGACATACAGACGTCACTAGGCAGAGTTCTCTTGGGCTTGGGAATCAGGGGACTGTGAATAGCCCATCCCGTGCCAGTAGCCAATGTCTGGCTCCAATGTCTGCTGCATTTCCTAAGTCCGGGAGCTGGCTCCTGAGATCAGCCCGCCTCATCCCTTCCCTCTGCTGCCAGTGTCCTCTTCCTCTGTAGCTTGACTTTTCCTGTCCTCGTCAAAGGAAGGGGCTGTGGCTCAGTGGAAGAGCCTCTGCTTTATGTGCAAAAAGGTCCCAGGTTCGGTCCCCCGGTACCTCCAGTTTAAAAGGACCAGGCAGTAGGTGATGTGAAAGACCTCTGCCTGAGACCCTGGAGAGCCATGGAGCAGGACCATGGCTCAGAGGTAGAGTCTCTGCTTGGCATGCAGAAGGTCCCAGGTTCAATCCCCGGCATCTCCAGTTTAGAAAAAAGGACCAGGCAGGAGGTGATGGGAAAGACCTCAGCCTGAGACCCTGGAGGACTATGGGGAGGGGCCGTGGCTCAGTGGAAGAGTATCCGCTTGACATGCAGAAAGTCCCAGGTTCAATCCCCAGCACCTCCAGTTTAAAAGAACCAGGCAGTAGGTGATGTGAAAGACCTCTGCTGAGACCCTGGAGCGCCACTGCCAGTATGAATAGGCAATATTGACCTTGATGGACCAAGGCTCAGTGTAAGGCAGCTTCACTGTTTGGGGAAATGCTGTGGCTCCACGGTAGAGCCTCTGCTTGGCATGCAGAAGGTCCCAGGTTCAATCCCCGGCATCTCCAGTTTAGAAAAAAGGACCAGGCAGGAGGTGATGTGAAAGATCTCCACCTGAGACCCTGAAGAGCGGCTGCCAGTCTGAGTAGGCAATACTGGCCTTGATGGACCGATGGTCTGATTCCATATAAGGCAGTTTTGTATGTTCACATTAAGCATCACAGATTGATGAAAATGGAAGCTCTTTTCAACATTCCCTGTTAAGAAAGGGGCTGTGGATCAGTGGAGGAGCATCTGCAGAAGGTCCCAGGTTCAATTCCTGGCATCTCCAGTTAAAAAGGACCAGGCAGTAGGCGATGGGAAAGACCTCTGCCTGAGACCCTGGAGAGGCATAAACAGGGGCTGTGGCTCAGTGGAAGAGTCTCTGCTTGGCATGCAGAAGGTCCCAGTTTCAATCCCCAGCATCTCCAATTAAAATGACCAGGCAGGAGGTGATGAGAAAGACCTCAGCCTGAGACTGCAGAGAGCCGCTGGCAGCCAGAGTAGGCAACGCTGACCTTGATGGACCAAGGGTCTGATTCAGTATAAGGCAACATCCAGTGTCCAGAGAGGGAAGACCACTTACAAACCATCTGTTGCAAACATCCTTGTCCCAGCAAGCCTTTCTGTCTCTAAAGAGTTTTGTGTATCCAGCCTGCTTTGACCCTGGGTTAAATATTTTTTTAAAAAAATTTAATCAGAGCAATGAAAAAGAATTCTCGAATCTCCGAAAGGGTTCATAGCTGTGCTAAATGGAGGGCCAGTATGGTATGCTAGTTACGGTGTTGGAATTGCTGGAAACTCTGTGGTATAAAGAAGAGAAATGGGGCCCCGCCGAGCAGTCTTCCAGCGAGCCAAATAAGGAAACTTAACATAAGAACTTAATTGCTGTGAAAAGGTTCAGAACAAAGTGAATTGTCTGATTCCCCTGACAAAAATTGTACATGGAATGTGTAGTGGCTTTGTATAATCCTACAGCTGTCACCCGGCATCTCTTTTCCCTTATTTGGTTTGCTTACCATAAAGTTTCCCAGCAATTCCTAGAGCTATCCTTTGTCGCTTCCAGATAGCTCTAGGAATCACCAGGAACTCTATGGTCATAACTTCCTGTAAGTAAATGAGGCCTTATTTTTTTTCTTGTTTTTCTCCTGGGATGCTGCCCCCGCCCCCCAAGAACACTACCCCTGTCTGCCGGGCACCGCTTGGCAACCTTAGGTCTGTCTGACATCACTGGAATGAAATGTGCACTGCTCTAATCGGAACCTCTTGGTCGTTCCTCTAGTTTTCCAAGGAAATCCTGGTGAACATTTACTCCGCCTACATCGATAACTTTCTCAACGCCAAAGATGCCGTGAGGATCGCCAAAGAAGCCAGGCCGGCGTTCATGAAGTTCCTGGAGGTACGGCGTGATCCTTTCACCCCACTGCTTACTTTGGGAAATAGGAGGTCACTGAGCGCCAAGCCACCCTTGAATCTACAGCCTCCAGTTCTGAAGTTCTATCACAAACCCCGACCTCACCCCTGTCTCACCGCCCATCCAGCTTCCAAGCTAATGCTCAATCACAGGGGTCATTTCGTAGGAAAAGAAGCACGGGGGCTCATTAGCGTAACTCATTAGCGTAACATATTTGCACTAGCAGTAAAGCTCATTGTGAAAACAATACAACGGGATCTAGAAAGAGGCTCTGGGGGAGTGCTCTGGCTTTGGGCAAACAGTGTCAATTTGCTGTGGTGACCTCAGCAGGGTATAATGACAGTCCACTGTTTTCTCCAGAGTAACTGATCTCTGCTACCTGAAGAGCAGTTGTAATTGTGAGTGATCTGTAGCCCTCACCTGGAGATTGGCAGCAATTGTTACCCAGGACAAAATGGCTGGTTTGGAGGGTGGAGTTGGCAACCCCATCTCCTTCCCAGCTAACCATCAACCTACCATTATCTGCCCCTTTGACTTCAGCTGACTTCTGCCCTCCCTTCTGCAGAGCAGTTGTAATTCTGAGTGCTCTCCAGCCCTCACCTGGAGATTGGCAACAATGGTTCCCTATGTGGGACTGACTGGTTTGGAGGGTGGAGTCTATGGCAGTGTACCTGTCTGAGGTCCCACCCCTCCTCAAACCTCACCCTCTTCAGGCTCCATCCCTCAAATCTCCAGGAATTTCCCATCTGGAGTTGGCAACCCTATCAGGACTGGCCCCAATGTGTTTTCTCCCAAAGGCCAAAGTAGGTGACAGGACCAAGCTTAGTTGCCTACCAACAGGCACTGAGGGGAATGTAGGGTTGCCAGCTCTAAGGAGGGAAATACCTGGAGGTTTGGGGGGTGGATTCTGAAGAGGGC